CTAAAATCAGATGTTTCTAATATTGACTGTAGTTTCCTGTTATGAAGAGGATATTGCGGATTGTCTCCTTCCCTATCATAAATGCACAACGGACTTTTCTTTCCCTTTACAAAAAGAGGCTGGATCTGACCTCTCTCTTAGTCTATTCACTTTAATCATTGGGCAGTTTATAATAACTCTCTTCCTTTGTCTCTTTTGATATCCAGAAATAATCTGAACCTGTGGCACTTCATATAAAATATAGTGTTGAGGCATTAAAGGATGCCGACTTTTCATGTGGTCATATCGGTTATAGGAATTATAAGATTGTCTCAAAATGAATCATTCATTATAATGAAAAGCTCAGAGTCATTAACACACTTACAAATGCTACACAAAATAAGCAAAATGTCATCTTCCTGAATGATCATAGACAGTTAGAACTAACAAAAAAAGAAACTTTTGAACAACCCCCCGAACTGAACATATGCTGCAGAGTTTCTCTGACTACTAGAGACACCTTGGCACAGCTGGCAGTTTGCTGCACCAAGCGAGCTCAAAGAAATGCCACAATGCAGATGTTTTTCCTCCCAGCAAGAAACATATTTTATTGTGCCGAAGTTGACGTCATTAAATGTCTTTTGGGACAGATTGTTTTCCAGTCTAAGCATTTGAGGGCATTTGAACAGTTTTCAAATACCACAGATAAACTCCTGCATAAAGACCCCGCTGTGATATTCTCCACTGTAACGCAGTGTTTTCATCAGCAGCTTGAGTCAAGTACAGAGCCGATGGATGGAACCAAAACATCTATTAGTTTTAATATTATGGTCTGAAAATACCTATTTATGTTGTTAATCAATATATGGCTTTATTCAAATGTCTGCTGTGAACTGTTTAGTACTGTGGATTGTCCATTTAATATGACAATGAAATTAAAGTAAATGTTATATTCATTACTGTTTTAAGTGTGACAGTAGGAACAGAAGAGAGTAAAACTGCTCAGTTTGCTCTCTTCTTTCTCTTCCTGCTGATAATGAGCAAATCTAGCAAAAATATCATTTTAAATGCAGACTTTATTTGTTAATCATGTTTGTAGGGTGTTTGTCCATCCTAATATCTCACCAATGCCTCTGGGTAAATCATTTTTATTAAAATGTTCATTTATTTTGTTTCTACTTTCCAGTTGTTTCCTGAACTGCCGGAGCAACAGAGAGACATTAAAACTGGAGATTACTCAAAAATCATAATGTCGTATGCCAAACAAAAACGGAAAACTTTAACAAACACCAACACTGGCCTAAAGAATCTGACTTAAAGCTATTTGCTATAGGACACTATCACGCTGCACAGCTGATGTTATTATTCTATTATTATTATTATTTAGATTTCTAAGACAGGATTCAATCACCATGTTGTGCTCAGTCTGACAGACAACAGAAATAGATCAATATGTAAATGGACAAATATGTGACTTGAGGCGTTTTAGTGTTAGTGTTCAGATGTGGTCTGAGTTGAATCTGACAGTCTCAATAAAACTGGTGCTTCTGTTATTTTGTACCCTGCATGTTTTTATTTTAACAGCCTTTTGGAGGTATGCTTTACTTTGAAGGGCTAGATTTTGAACTGAATTATGACCCCCTAGAGTAAGACCATATATTATTTGGTGGTATTTAACTGTAAAAGTGATTTAAGTTGTGGGTGATGGAGAGAGAGAGAGAGGGGAGAAATGAGACGTCCTGGGAATCAGGAAAATTGGGCTGAAAATAGACAGAATGATCCTTTATGGCTGTAACACACCCTCCATATTCTGACTTTATTGAACAGTCTGTTAATCAAACACACTCTTACTGGTATATATATATAAAAAAAGACCATGTAGTCTTCTTTAATCATAATGCCACCTCAAATAAAAACACAGCTAACGTTAATGTTAGTTTCATCCATTCAGTTCACAGCTGACCTCAGTAGACTGTCCAAGCATGGTCCCACTAATGTCCCGCACTAAAGGACAAAGACTGCAGCCTCGACCTGTGGCGGGGCTCGTTTTCCAGGTGTAATATACTGCACATTGTCTACTGACACCGTTCAATGATTTACATGGCATGTACGAAGAGATATTAACCTGTTTTCACGGCTGTATCAGCAAGACAGCGGTCCCATTTCCGTCCGTGTTCATCCGCCATGTTTTCAGCTGTCAGGAAGATCCGCAAAATATCGCGAGGGTGAGATGAAGTCACGTGAAGTCACCAGACTGCCTCCTTCTTTCAGTGTTGATCATTCTGCTTTATACTGTTAATTCAAACAAAAATAACTTTTAATAAAAGTAAAAAACAACAACAAAAAACGTTGTTTTTTTCCTTTCAGTTTATTTTTCTTTTTTTCATTCAGCTCCTAAAATACCATCGGTGTTCAGTGATCACTTTTGATATCTTATTCATTAAATCAAGCAATAGGGGAGGAATAGTGAGGACATACAGTTTAACCTGCATATTCACACACTTTATATTTATGTTACTTTATTTCTCAATGTGAAAATACTTAAAGTTTATTTATACCTAATATCATAACTTTATCGCTGTCATTTTAGTCTGTTATTCAGTATATCTGACTGTATGTGATAAAAGTTCTTCTGTATATTACAACTTCTTGATAGTTTTCATTGCCCATATAGTGAATGCACAAGAAATGATGCATGTAAAACTAGCAGTTCCCATTTAATTCTAATGCTAGAATATCTACCACTGGATTAAATATCTTTCTTATATGTTTTGGCTGTGATATAATCTTAATATGGCATATTTCTACTAGTACACTTGATTCGTTCATAGTAACACAAATCGAGACTAGTTGCTGAAAGCCAAAGTGCTGCTTCCCACACACAGTCAATAATATACAGATGTTGGTGAGGTTTACAAGCAGGTTTCCCATTTACAAACAATCCAGGATGCAAGCACGGCTTCAGGGCAGAAAGTACATTTGTACAATGTCATGATAGCTTTGATATGGAGATGTTGAGACATAAATTTGAAATATTTATAAATAATAAAAAATAAATAAATACACAGAACTACACTTGCACAGGCTCAGACACTTCACAATAATTAACCCCTTAGAAATAGCAGCTACAGTCAAAGTAAAAACATTAACCCAAACTATTAGAAGTGGAGAGAAATAAACTCCCCCTGAAATGTTCAACATTAAAAACATTACTTCTGGTTATTCCCTGAAAATCAGCAAACCAAAACACGTAACTTAAACGTCCAATCTGTAACATTTAAGATGATCTATTGGCAGAAATGTGATTTAATATTTATGTTTTTACTGAAAATAGAAATCGTTGAGTTTTTGACCATCGAATGAGCCATTTTTATCTACAGGGGGAGCAGGTCCTCTTCTACTAGGTCCGCCATGTTGAGCCGCCATATTTCTACAGTAGCCAAGAACGGACAAACCAAACACTGGCTCTAGAAAAAGGGAAAGGGAGGGTGAGGCGAGCTGGTTGCAATCTGCAATCTCACTCCAAGCACATGTGACAGAGTTGGGTGTTATCAGTGTGATCAGCAGTACAAGACATCCTTTACATTACAGGGACTGATTTCATTCAGCATTAAAGCTGGGATATGCAGTTTGAACACACACAAAGCGAACCGTCTGCCTCTCTCTCTGCTGCTGTGTATCACTCTGGTAAACTCCTCTCACCAAACTCACAAGTTTGAGCCGCAGCAGAAGGAGTCAGTTGCCCTGGAAAGACCTCGTGCCTCCTAGGGTTTGCTCTCCACTCTTCAAAAACGCCCCACCAGCCCTCTCCGCAACCCCACAGCAGTGCCCACAAGCTTCAGAGGCAGCTGCGATGCCATCTAAAAGTGGGGATGAGAGGATGGTGCAGACACCCTCTTCAGCTGTCTCAGAAACACTCTGAGCACTGACCTCTGAGGCAAACTGTGATTTGTGATTTTGAGCAATAAAAATAAAATTAGACATTCCTTATAGTATTTTATAGGAACTCTCTGAAATGAACTGTGATCGGCCAAAGTCTCCCGTCGGGCTACATTTTCTAAAGCCTGAAAACAGAGCTGAAAGGGGGTGAGTTGAGTTTTCACTCTGACCACTTGAATTACAATAATAACCTTAATGCTGAAAGATTATAATATTTGTTTTCCCAATGATGCCAAATAAAACCCTCCCTACCCCAGCAGCACCAGTCACCACAGGTGTCGCCAAATCCACCAAAACACTTAATTTACAATAAATGATCATCAATAAACATAACTATAACTTTTAAAACATTAACTGCATCATTGAACATATTTGCTTAATTCTTGCATCACTAGAATATAAATAAAGGAACATTTATATTAAATTTAACTGAACAAAAACAATGAAATATACCGAAGCTCAGAATAAAATCATATTAATTATTAATTAATTATGAACAATGCCAGTATCGCCGCAGTTTAATTAACGTGGACACGTCTCCCTTTGTGCCGGATGACATTACGGATCAGGGTGTGGCCACAAGTGAAACATTGTTTGCTTTTTATTTTCTAAAAATATAAAATAAAAAGCAAATAATAGTGACCCAGTATCATTTATAAGTGAATAGCCACTATATTTTTACATTGAGAGTTTCTGAATTATCATTTTATTAAAATAGTTTGTAGGTTAAAAATAATTAATATTTGATAAATAATATTAATTACACTTCCCACGGAATATGTGTGTTTAAAAACAGATGTGGACAGAAATAAATGAAGAAAATGATAAATATTAAACATCAAAACAAAACAAATAAACAATTTAGAGTTGCTTAATCTCTGACATTATAAAAAAAGGTTCATGAAAGGGAGCAGAAGGCGCTGCAAACACCAGTGTGTCTGTCTATCTACTGCCCTCTCTCACTGCACACATTTGCTGCACCACTCCTCTCTTTCCATACTTGGCAATGCCTTTCTTGCTCCTTCGCTATTGGCTGCCGCAGAGAGAGCCCGGAGTGACCCGGACATGCTACCGGGGCCTGTTTTCTGACTGCAGCCTCCTTCCTGTAGCCCGGTTGAGGAAGTGAATTTCGCTGACAGGGCTGGGTTCAGTGAGGGAGAGGCGAACAAAACATCTTAACTAAAAAAAAAAAAGACAACAAGAGACGAGAGAGGAGCGACTTGTTCAAACGCAGGTGTACACTCATCGGTGAAATCGTGCTCGCCCGCCCCGCTGAGACCGCCACAGACCGCCGCAGACATGGTAAGGGCCGCGGTGGAGCTGGTGGGAGAGAGATGGGGGACGAGGGGGGACGAGGGTTTTTTGGTTTGGGCTGCTGCTAACGAAGCGTTCACGGCTAAGCTAGTGCTAACGCTAGCAGGAGGGGGCTCGCTGGGTGGTAACCCGAGATCAGCAGCAGCAGCAGCTGGGGGTCCAAGTGTATAAATCACCGATGCAATATCTAACTCGCACTGTTTGCAAAAAAAAACCTTCTGCGTACCGGATACAAATGAGTTAGCTTCGTGTGCTAAGGTAGCAGCTGATTTCTTCCAGCTAGTCGGCTAGCTGTGAGCTAAGCTAGATGCCCCGTAGGCATAAAGTTAAGCACAGGATGTTTTGGATTTGACACAAGTTCGTGAATAGTATTACTGAGGAGTCCTAATATAACACTACACACACTCACACACACACACACACACACACACACACACACACACACACACGCACACACTGGCCAAAATAGTCAAGCGCCGGGTTGCCTGTAGCTAAAATAAGACTGCTTGCTCCTCCTATTCCTAACCATGACAAGCTGTCAAACTCCTCTGCTAAAGTTTTTTTTCCTGAGTTTGATCATGACTTTTATGTTTTCTCTGGGAACTCTTAAGCTCTGACAACCCCTACAAATCCTACCAGCAACTATTGATTATTTATTACTTGATTTTGAACCTTTTCCCACCTCTTTAGCTTTACATGGCAGTAATATCCCTGTAATTTATCATGTATTTATGTTTAATATAATCTTAATGTCTGTACTTAAATTATCCAAGCACCTTCGAGCTCCATCATGTGGTTTCACACGGTTTATAAAAGTGGTTTTTTTTGCAGTACTTCCACATTAACCCAACTGTCTTATATGCCTGAGTTGGGAAGAGCAGCTGGTTTTTCTCCACTGTCGCCCACTCTCCTCGGCCTCACCTCATCCATCTTGCTGGCTCAGCCCTCGCCTCTCTCCCCTGACCCCTGGGGTTGTTGGTCTGAGCTAGTGTTTACACGGAGACAGGAGCACTGGTAAACACAGCGTCAAGGAGCGCAGGTGTCTGATGGAGCGGACTGATTCATCAGCTGAGAGATATTTTAAAAACATGCAGAAAGCAGCTCGGAGGAGGAGAAATGGCATGGGAGACATTGCCTTGAAACTTCTGTTATGTTCAGGGTCACCCTTAAGGGAAATGTTTATGGAAAGAGGATTCTCTACTTTATAACATTTGACCGGCTAACAGCTGTATAATGAGTATGCCCAGTTAGGTTTATGCACTTAAGAAGCGTTACTTCATAGATAAGCCAAGGCGGACGGGCTTGTCGACATCTAAAAGGGAGGTGAATTAAATAGGTAAAACAAACATATAATGTGGCAGTGTAAAAAGCTATTGCTAAGACATGATGGCTGGTGATTCTGATATAGATGCGAGCAAAATATTTCAGATGTAAATGCCTCCTTTTTCCCATTGGATGTGGATGAACATTGCAAACAAGTTATTTATATTTCTTCATTCTTCATAAGCATATTTCAGTTTGTTTGTAGTGGCAGACATTAGTGCACTTATCTAACAAGGGAGATTTTTATCTCCAAGTTACAGTTGTAATCATGTTTAAAGTGATCTGAATGTAAGTTGGTCAAGGTTTGTAAAAATAAGTTATATAACATAACATATATAATTACCATGGTGAAATATGTGTAGACTGATATCTCTGTAGGGCCTAGGTCTATGTAAGGTGACTTTGATGGCACTGTCTAATAATGCCCAGATGAAAATGATTGTGGCATAGCCATTTGTCTGCTAGGGTCAGCTAAGAAACAGGTTTTTGTCTCTCTTTATACATACTTACATCTTCCCACACATTCCCCAGAGTTTCATGTTGTGGCTGGTCTGTCCTCCCTTACTCACTAATATCCTGCTGCTTACTGCATATTTAAGGGGGAGAAACCCCTTGGGGGGGGCTATGCTATGCAGTCCTGCCTGTTCTGTGTTTTCTACAGCTGCCATTATGAATAAGTTCTTCATTTAGTCTTAATTAACTTGCCTGCTTAAAGAATGTTAACACATTGCATGCATCCTAAAACTAAACAAAACAAAGAGACTACCACAGTGAAATGAGTTTCTTTTAATGTCTGTTTTTCTGACCTTTTGGATGTAACATACAGGAATGTTCACAAGTTAAAATCTGGCCTGCTGCTACACAAACTGTAATTTATTGGGTACATTGACCACATAAGCAAACATATGTTGAGTGACTAAGTACACAACAAACACGGCTCAGTAAACAACTCAAACATGAGGCCAAAAAAGGAATTGGCTTCAGCTAGTCTCAGCCTGTATTGAAGAATTTACTACATTGGTTGTAGACTGTGATGACAGCACAATGTTGGGTGTTTGTTATGTTACAAAGCACACATTACAGTCTACAAGTCTATAAAACCTGCCTCCAGTTCCTACATTGATTTAATTAAATAGTGGATTTACAATCAGGGTGGTAAAATAGGAACATCTACCAACCACAGATAAATAAATGTTCAAATGTACCAACCACTCAATAGTGAAGCATTATTTTACATCAGAAATCTATCAGCCACTTTCATATTTGCTGATTTCCCACCATGCCTACAGTTCTCTTCTCGAAGCATGATAACATTTGATTAGGTTAAAATTTCAAACATGTTTCACTCGTGGCCACGCCCCAATCAGTAATGTCATCTAAACTGCTGCACTTAAATGTCATGTGCCACTAAAAGATTTGTGTGGCGAGAAAACAAAACCCCCATGTGTTCCAGGAGCAAAGTAAATACTAGAGAGACAAATTTCTTTTGCAAAACTGTCATTGCTGATTCATTTAACCATTTTACTGCCAACATTTAAATCCTACCCACAGTTATAAGCAGTGTTTGGCCTCAATAGTAGCTGTGTTTTACCTGACATTTACCTGTGTATAGTTCAACTCAGCACAACTCACCAAAGTGCCACCCAGTCACACTACCTGCTGCTGTTTGATGATAAGCTGACAATGATTAAACTTCATATCTGCTGCCTAATGGGCCACCTGTGCACCATTTTACGTGTGTTTCCCCGCCCTTGCCCTTCATGATATGCATCACACCGCCAAATGAAGTGCATCCTTTGATAGCTGATGGACAGTGTCTGCATGGTCAGACATGTTTCACATACCTTTACTCACAGAATAGTTTTGTGCAGATTGGGATTCAGTTTGTTCAGACTTTTGACTATTCGGGGTCCAATCTCTATTATTTCATCTCTTTTGCTCTGCAAATTCTCACATGACAAATCATGAGTGCAGTTCAGTCTACTGAGCTGGAAATGTTGTGTCTGTAATCTCACAGTGAGTGAGCAGAGTTTGCCTGCAAGGGTGTGAATATTTCCTGCACAGCAACTCCTCTCATACCCTCATACAGAATGTGGCAGGACATTATCATTGTGTTTTTTGGAGGAGCTTGGCAGGGTAATTTTTTTGTTCTGAGCCAATTCTTGCTTATATATTCCCACATAATACAGCAGCTCAGTGCACAAGTAAATCAAACCTGCGTTAAATTAGTGAGCCTATTCAAATTTGAAAGTTATTATTACTAAATAATCCCTTTTATTAGCACAGCAGATCTTTTCTTTAATCTCATCAAGTCTGTTTAACAATCCATTAATATGAACATGTAAACAGGCTGCTGCTTGCTGTAATCATTCCTCCTGTTCATGGCCATTAAGAGATCCCTTCTGAATGTGCTTTCAGTGGTGACAACATCCACAGTCCTCATTCAGCTGGCTGTAACTTTATATTTATATAAATACAGGTCGCACCCCGGGACCCCTGTGGAGACCCTCTAGTGTTCTGTGTCCGTAGATAGAGAGAAGTGTCAGTGTAGAACTGTTGTAACAGGAAGATTGACCTACTCTGTCTTTCAGTATGAATATAATATTGAACAACTGAGCCAGAGATAAAATCTACCAAAAGCTGCTTGGTGTCAGTGAGAGTAGCCTCACTAAAGCTGCTTTGAAGCTGGTTTCACCAGCATGTCTCCAGTGTTCCAGTGAAGTACACAAAGGCATTTCTGACAGCTGGCTACAGTTTACAGTTTAAAAAACCCAGACTGGAATTTGGTCATCATCAACATCGATCAATTAAATGATGCTCCGATGACAAACCTCCAGCTCAGTGTAGGATATTTAAATTATTGTTGGTCCTATTCAGTTTCTATTCAACATTAGGTTCTCTAGAGTAAATACTCACTGAGAGCAGCTGTTTTCAAACAATAAAAATCCACTTAAATATGAATCAGTTTTGTAACTATGGTGAAAAGGTTAATATTGCTGTCTTGCATAATTACAGCTATGGTTGCTTTCTGTTTGAGCTGTAATGATAAAATATTAGTATTGTAACTTTGCTTTCAGTTTGTTATTTGACCTCAGGTAGACTTACATTACAGAAGGTTTTATGAGTCTAGCTCTGTATACATATGTCAACTTACTCTACACACAAAGGTTTTATTATGTTATCTGCATCTAGTAACAACAAATAGTCCAGTTTCCATACCAGTTTCTTTAATTGTCTCTTTGTCAATTTCGTCTTTCTATCTGAAAAGCAATTTTATACCGTTTATGTTGCCTCACAAATAGCTTCTTGTTATTTGGTAGAAAACATTTTTATTTGTCTGAAACATGGTGAGGTGGTGCACTCACTGTCATCCCTTCAGTTCATTTTTATTTAACAATTTGTAAAACTAAAAACATTTGGGCTATTTTTGGGGCTAAAATGTATGTATGTTTGTTTTGTTTGTTTTTTAGACAAATTAAAAGTTTACAAATTGAAACAACAGTATACAGTAACGTTATAACTACTGTGTTGTAGCTGAGCTGAGAAAGTGCTCTCTGAGTGGAGGTAACTCGAAACATCTCCGGTTGCCAAGTCGTATCTATGGTCTGTCCTATTTACTGGACTAGTGAACAATGTTTCCATTGCATTAGAACTTTATGGGATGGTAATGATTCTTCCAGTTATTAGGAAGGACCACATGTGTTTCCAGGGAAACAGAGTTATGCCTTGTAAAAGAAACTTCAGATTTTGATTTAAAAAAACGAAAATATAAAATAATGACCTTATTTTTATACGTATGTGACTGGAGGAAAGCTGCTGTGTTGTGAAGCTTTTAACTGATGTGATTTAATCAGTACAGTGTAATTAATGTTGTCTGTGTCTTTCAGAATGACCAGCAGCTGGACTGTGCCCTGGACCTGATGAGGCGTCTGCCTCCTCAGCAGATCGAGAAGAACCTCAGTGACCTCATTGACCTGGTGAGTTACCTTATCCTGTCAGATTTCCTTACAGAGAAAACACGCAGATCGTAGACCAAGGACCCTCCAGAATTTTCCTTTACTGGCTGAGTCTCAAAATTTACCTAGAAAGGGAAAAAAAGAGCTTTACAATGTCAGTAAAGACAGCTGTGATACCGACATACACTGCAGACAATATTTGCTTTAATTCATTCTTGTTTGACCAAATTTGGGCAAGTTTTCAATTTTCATCATAAAGCCTGATTAAGCTTAAATTGCAGTTCTACTAATATATTGTGAAAATAAAATCCTGCGTGACAGAATCTGTCATATTTCTTTGTTCATTCTGTTTTTCTTGTGTCGTGTGTGTCTGTATAGCTTATACAGTGAGAGATGTGAACTAGTTTCTGTTCTTCAGCAGATCTATACTGTGTTTGGTAGCATCAGAAGTGTGTGGGTGGGCCTGCTGTGGTTTCGGAGGTGTTTCGGTGTTTCAGTGTTTGTTGTTCTGTACGATGCAAGTGTAACATTTGCTTCCCATCGCTGTGTCATCTTGGTAACTGAAGCTATTTTCAGCATTTAACATTGTGCAGCTATTTTTGTGGAAGTAAAGTTTTTTTTTTCCACTTAAACAACTTAAAGTTCTGGCTGTAAACTAACTATTTGTTTCCTTCACACAGTTTTTGTTAAGAGTTTCTTATTTTTAAATTGTTAGACTTATTATTATTATTATTGTTATTATTATTATTATTATTGTTATTATTATTAGACTTATTCTGTAACAGAACAGTGCCAGCTGAGTCTGACAAGTTAAGCTAGGCCGGACACAAATCAAATCACACTTTTACCAGTGTTGCCATGGCACCATATTTTCTGGGTATATGCGTTCCTTTCCAGCCAGACCCCCCACCTGCTCACCTTCCTCTTTCCTCACCTTTTAAACTCCCTCCCCCCTGAGCGTTGGCTCTCTCCTCACCCATTTTTCTGTGTCTGGTTGTTAGTGATTATTATCGCAGCTGTCAGTCACTTCCACTGCCAGGCACTCTTTGGCTCCACCATCTCTGCTCAAACTCTTTCTGGCAATTCAGAATCACCTGAAATCACCTCTTTCTTTTGTGTTTGTCCCACATCTCCCCCATCTCCGCCTCTCTGTTCTCCGTTTTCTCCCCTACCGCACACTTCCCACTGGGTTTTGTCCCCCCCCCTCCTTACCCTGTCTCACCCAGTCTGGGCTGCCAGGTGTGTGTGAGTTCGGGTGGGGGGGCTATTTCAGGCAAACAGGACCTCCATTGTGTTGCTATGATGTAGGAGGACATAGAGAGGGGCGTCCATGTCAGTCTGTGAGAAGTAATTTGTACCTCCTTATCCTCTAAATATTATGTTTCCCATTGATATTTCATTCCAGTTCCACTCAGTGTAACCTCTTCTTACTGAGTGAAGCTGAAATGTGAGAAACAAAATGAGAACAAATACTAGGCTACTTTTGTTTTTCTGTATAGCCCGTTTCCCCACAGTCAAGTTTTTGTTTTTAAGAGGGGATCTGTTTACAAGAAGTCTGAACTGATATGAACATCTTGTTCTTATGTCTTTCGCTTACTCTCAAGACACTTTTCTGTGTTTACTTTTCAATCAGGTGTGTGAGGAATTTACATGTTTTTGCCCCTGATTTTATTGCAGTATCTGTTGTAGAAAACATTGTGTTCATGTATGGAGCTTTTTAATGTTTGTGTCCAGGTGCCCAGTCTGTGTGAGGACCTCCTCTCTTCTGTGGACCAGCCCCTGAAGATCGCCCGGGACAAGGTGGTGGGGAAAGACTATCTGCTCTGTGATTACAACCGAGACGGCGACTCCTACAGGTCCAGTTTATAACTGCGCTACAACATGAAGTACATTATGATCAGTTCATCTGTCTTTAGAATATGCAGACTGAAACTAATGTTTCAGGATTTTAATGGGTACTAAATTAAATCAGATTATATAGCTAAAGGACATAAAATATCAAATTTTCCTTAAGTTTGAAACTACCCTTTCTATTGCCGTTTTAGAGATAGATACTTTATTTATCCTGAGGGAAATTCAAGTTTTATATTGGAGTTGGGTACTGAGAGTTATTTCAAAACAGTTTTTTATAACACTGTAGATGAGGTTTTCACTCATATTGACACAAATTATGATTTCGGAGCACATTGACATAAAGTTTCTCAAACACACAGTTTATTATATAAAATATAATAATAATAGAAAGTTGTTTTTGAGCCCTGTACTGTAACTCTCCTGCAGTAAACATATGCCTGAATTTCCAATAGAACAGAATTGTACATGATTTCTCTTTTCTTTTTATATCGGCATTCTATATAGGCCATTGGCAGCCCTGCTCTTTAAATATCGGCATGTCAGTCGACCACTTTAAAATTCCCCCTTTTTCTCCATCTGTACTACAGTTTCCAGTTGCGAAGTATTGCTCGAACATTGCAGCATTTTCTGGAAATGTCCTGTCATGTCTGAATGAATCCACAAGTAAGATTAGTGTAAAAGAAACCCGTCAGCAGGGTTACTCCGTCTGAACAGGGTAAATGTCAGGAACATAGAGACACAACCAGATTTTACTGTCTTGAAAAGGTTACCGGCCGGTGCAGTGGGTGACACAAGTGGGATTTGAGACATTTCTGAACTGAATCTGAATTTATTTAGATACTTATTAACACTGAATTCTGTCATCCTCTTTAATCCATCAGATCCCCGTGGAGTAATAAGTATGAACCTCCCATTGAAGACGGTGCAATGCCTTCAGCTCGCCTGAGGAAACTCGAGGTTGAAGCCAATAACGCCTTTGACCAGTACAGAGACCTGTGAGTACCAGTTGAACAATCTCTGTGGGAGTTTGTAATAAACGGTAAGTGTAGCCCTCTTGTGACCTCTGATATGTGTTTTTAAGGTACTTTGAGGGTGGTGTGTCCTCCGTGTACCTCTGGGACTTGGATCATGGCTTCGCTGGAGTTATTCTCATCAAGAAGGCCGGGGATGGATCCAAGAAGATCAAAGGGTGTTGGGACTCCATCCATGTGGTGGAGGTGCAGGTGAGAATCATCGGATATGAAACATTTTAACTTGCTTCTGCCCAGTCTTGTTTTCTTTTTTTTTAATCTTAGTTTTACAGTTATTGGCAACAAAGAATGTATACAGTTAATAAATGGACAAACTAATGTCATATTTCAGAACACCAAAGAGGAAATAATTCATTTAAAACTATGTATTTCACTTATTTTAATGTTATCTAACTGAGATGTCTCTTGAGGTACATTATCTTTCTTTCAAAACAAACCACAATGGCAGCATAGAGTAGTTAACACAGACTTGCATAGAAATACAACACAATAACAAAGGACCTGGGAGGCATAAAGGAGAAAACGGGACTTTTAAAAACAGTTACAATTATCATAAAACATGTTCTGAATGTGGCGTTCGACTTCCTAGTGGTCACAGTTTGTCAAATTTATTTTGTACTGTAAAGCAAGAGAGGATTTCTTTGATCTAGCAGGGATTTGTGAAACAATGATAGTTAAAGAACTTCAATAACTGCGTCAGAACTAGGATTATAAGAAAATATAGAAAGATAGTGTACCGCAATATTTTGTTTTGTGATCGATTGTCAAAAATACTGTATTGATTTTTGTGTTAAATAGCAAAACAAACTTGCTATAAAAGGGCTATGGTTTTGGAAACAGATCCCCGCTTTTTCTTTTTTTACTCGCATTGTTTGCACATTGTAACCCCTGTATTGTGATATGCATCATATCACCAGATTTTTACCAATACACAGCCCTAGTCAGAACGGTCAAAGACAAAACCTGTGCATGATGTTTGCAGGTGATTGTTGACAGTGACATGTATCAGATTCACCATACATCAGTGATGCAGTGTAAATGTTTACAGTTTAGTTGAACATATTGTCTCATTGCTTGTTGTGTTTTTTGCGAGCAGGAGAAGTCCAGCGGTCGTACTGCTCACTATAAACTCACCTCCACCGTCATGCTGTGGCTCCAGACAACCAAGACTGGCTCTGGTACCATGAACCTGGGTGGCAGCCTTACAAGACAGGTACGGTGCTGAGCTGAACAGAAAACCACTGTTGATATGTCCAGCCTGTCTGTAGTCATTTATGAACTCAATTTGTTTCATCTTTTCGCAGATGGAAAAAGATGAGACAGTTGGAGAGTCCTCACCCCACATCGCCAACATCGGCCGCCTTGTCGAAGTCAGTATGACGGCTAATATCCTGCTCTTTTAACCCTTTAAACTGTCTGCCTAAAGCAGTAAAATGACTGCAGTGTTTCTCAAAAACTGCTCTCTAAGCAGGATTCTGCTGATATATCATAGGGCTTTAAAAGTTACATTATATACAGGCTTATTTGCCAGCTGACACATTTTTAGTGTTGCAGTGAAAGAATGTGTGTTTCGGTTAATAAGGCTGGTCATCGCACCCTCCCAAAGGGGAAGTCAGCCTGTGAAGTCTTAAAACATTAGTATGAAACAAGCATTTGGCAAACAATAACATTAATGTGCCACTTTTGTCTGACCGTCCACCCTGTGTGAGTGTACAGTAGGTTTATAGCGGTCCCTGGTCGCCCCTTTGCCGGCATGCCAATCCAAATGCAAGCAGGGTTTTAGACATTTGTGAGGATTTAATGGAGCCAAATTAGAGTGAAACTGATCTCATGAAGAGGAGGATTGTGGATTTTGCTTTCCTTTTTTTCCAAGTGTTGTTAGAGCAGCTGATTAACGCAGCTCAATGTGGTTTTGGTGTTTTACAGGTGACGGAGGACTATTAAAACTGAGCTAAAGTGCGAGTTTTTAGATTATAACCTCAATTTTCATGGCCATTCGATGACTATATTTTAAATATAGGATTTGTGAATGTTTTTCCCAGCAGCAGCAGTTAAAAAGTTCAAATCGTTACATACATTACATGTTATTGCACAGGTTTGAGATGCCATCACTAGTAATAAGGCAGCTTATTACTTATTAGCACACCTCCAACTCTAGTCAATAAAAACAACTGTCTAAGAGTGGAGTTGTTGTGCTGAAAGTTAAGGATGTGTTTTTTTTCATTCCAGGATATGGAGAACAAGATTCGCTCCACACTGAATGAAATCTACTTCGGCAAGACCAAGGACATCGTCAACGGCCTAAGGTAAGACTACATGAGTTGTTTGAATGATTTGGACTACCCTCGCTCCTTTAACAGCACCTCCAGTCAGCTGAGTCGGCAGAAACTCTGTCTAATTGTCTTATTGACAGCGGAGTCGGTTTACTTCTGTGTCTCATCTGTTGACCTGTTCATCAGATATTCTCTTACCTCTTTTGTCAATTTCTGTCATTTCCTGTCTGATATTTTATACCTTTGCTGCCCCTTTTTTCAGTTGCATTTTTCCTGTATTCATTCCTTCCCCTGTCCCTCTCTTCAACCTCTCCTACCAATCTTGTTTCTTTTTTGATTTTCCTTTCATCCCACATTTCTGCTGCCATTCTTCTCACTGTCTGTCCTCCTGTCAATCCCTCTGTCACCTCTCCTCCCCTGCTGCCTCTCCTCTGTGCTCCAGATCTATTGAGTCTTTGCCTGATAACCAAAAGTACCGGCAGCTCCAGAAGGAGCTGTCGCAGGTCCTCACCCAGCGTCAGATCTTCATTGACTAGGGTCAGAGGTACATCCTGGCATGGAGAAGTGTGTGTCTGTGTGTGTCTGTGTGTGTCTGTGTGTGTCTGTGTCTGTGTCTGTGTGTGTGTGTGTGTGTGTGTGTGTGTGTGTCTGTGTGTCTGTGTGTGTCTGTGTGTCTGTGTGTGTTGGTAAATAGAAAATGAACAAGGGAAAATGTTGCTCATTCCTCAGTGCTCTGTCCTCTGTCGACGGTACTGATAGGAAAGAAGCAGGCAAAGTTCAAATAATAAGCAGAGATATCTGAATACCACATTTTGTATGTTATTTAAATTCAGTTTGATTAAAGCATTAAAACTACATTAGTCTTGGATAGTTTAGGATGACAACATACTTTTCCATAAAAATACCTTTGACTCTTCTTTATCCATTGGAATAGAGGCCCTCTCTTTAATATAACATGTCTAATATAATAATATAGTCTATAAAGACTAGCTCATACTGGATTTTTTAGGCCAATGCCAATATTGAAATTTATGTTAAGAAGCACTTTATATAGGACAATAATTTGTTGAGATGTAGATACAGCTGTCAACAACAAGTCAAAGCTGAAAGTAAAGTAGAAAATGATACAAATAAAAAAACGGATTTATATGTTTTTTTAGTGCCCGCAATGGTTCAGGCTCGTGTGTGTGTGTGTGTGTGTGTGTGTGTGTGTGTGTGTGTGTGTGTGTGTGTGTGTGTGTGTGTGTGTGTGTGTGTGTGTGTGTGTGTGTGTGTGTGTGTGTGTGTGTGTGTGTGTGTGTGTGTGTGTGTGTGTGTGTGTGTTATATGAACATATTTGCATGTCAGTGCCCCTCACGGTGTTGCAGATTGACTAGCTGTGCAGGCATGTTGTGCAGGTTTTGTTTACATTTGATTCTAACAGACAAAACTCTGAGGGAGCGACACACTAACATGTCTGATTAGTCAAAGCAACCAACACCACTGATGTTTCGCAGTTTGTTGCCCTAATAAGGTCTAAAACAGTGTGTTTATTCTGGGTGTGTCCTATCGAAGGAACACACTTCTAGAAGTGTGTGTGTGTGTGTGTGTGTGTGTAAGCACGGTATAGTAGAGTATAAGCCTCCCTTCTGTTACTAAATGACAGCAAGTAGAGTTTTAGTTTTATATGTTCATATTTCTCATTTGCTTTTTAAAGGCTACGTTAACACTACAAGCCTTAGCGCTCAGTTCTGATTTACTGATTTATGACTGTTCACACTGAGGTCACATTACTAAAAATCAGACCTGTATCTGACTTGACCACATGTTGCCCAACTCAAAACTGAAAACATCTGAGTCACTGTGATGTGTGCTGTTCACACTGTCATTAAAACAAAAACGGATATGAGTCACGATGAGCAGAAAAGTCTAACAGAGCCACATCTTCCTGCAGTGTGAACGTAGCCAAAATAACTTTATAGCTCAACGAAGTGCAAAATGTAAAGGCTGGTGAACACTGCTAATAGAACAGGTAAACACGAATCAACTGCATGGCAACAAATAACTGTTTGTTTTGCCTGACATTAATGTATTTGTGCAGTGTGCGTACATTTAGTGTGATAATACATGTTTCTTCTCCCCACAGAGAAAAATAATTGCACTGTGATGTCTAACTTGTCTAAATTCAGAGATTCACTTACAGTCTTGCTGGAGAAACTTTTCCAGCCTCTGTATCGCTGTTTTCACATTTGATCTGGCTCACACTGATTGTCTCTCTTCTCTTTGTGCCCCCCCACCTCTCTCCCACAGGAGTGTTCAGACTCTGGCTGATAAGTCAAAGCAGGAGGCTCTGAGGGTCGACCTGATGGATGCACTCAAACGCAAACATAACAGCTAGAGATGCTACTGTTGTTTTTTTCTTCTGTCTCTCTCACTCTCTCTCGCCTCATCTCTGCCATCTTTTCTCTGTTTCTTTACGTCTCTCCCTCCATGCCTGTTTCAGTGCTGCACTCTTGTTTATTTGTGGAAAAACAAAAAAGGAGAAAATGCTTAGCTTTTTATTTGTTTTTGTTTTTTGTTTTCTGTCGGGTTTTTCGTTTTCATGCATCTCATCTGCCATGAAGCCATTCACTCACGCTCCCTCTGTCTCTCTTCTCTCTGCCTCTTCTCTCCCATGTTATGAATATAATGATAGTATTACCACGGTTAATGATAATCTTACAGTGTGAGGGTCATTGTAGTAATAATCCCTGATGTTCTCACAACTGATGTGTCCAACTGGTCGGTCTCAAATGAGCGATCTCGGCCCCGCTCTTCCTCCGTGACGAGGAGACGGACACAGACTGTGCTGTAGGTGGCGTAGGCTCCGTGGGGCTGTCATCATTAAGAACATCAAATTTATTTCTTGCACCTATTTTTATGTACGACACCCCCCTGATATATTTGAATAAAATCATTACTGTCCATGTATAACTGTCATTATCTGGCCGATGTAAACAACGTGAACACGAGGGCGGCCTTCGGTTTGTGTTGGAACGTTTTTACTCTTTATTCCACTTTGTCCACATGCATGTGAGCCTGTGTTGGGAGCATGGGGCTGCAGCGAGTGGAAATGTAGACTTATCAAACATGGGGATGGACTGTTATAATCACCGGGTGATTACACCCACGTCGTCAACCCCCCCGACCCCCTTTCACTGTGTATAACATGACAGTTTGCCTCCCCCTCTGTTCTGCTTACTCAACTTTTCTCTCTCCTCACCTACTATGTCTTTGTTGGGGGTCACAGTTTGTCCTTGTGTCTCAGTGGAAACATTTCACTGTTTCCATTTTGGAGGGGAATCTTTTTGTTGTATTTTTGTTTTTTGTTTTTATTTTGTAAAGCTTATGATTCATATTGTATTAGAGCCTCCAGCAACAATAAAAACAGTAAAAAGCTACTCTTGCTCTTATTTTTCTTCATTTACTATTGACGTGCTGCTCCCTGCCTGGACTAAATAACAAACTATATTACAATTGGAAACACTGCTGCTCAGGTGGACAACACTTATTAAGGATTTATAAGCTGCATATAAAGAGTGAATAAATCGCTTATAACACATTATAATGTAGTCATAATGGGGTGAACAGATAATGAATGAAAGTAAAACTAATAATATAACATGTACTTATAGGAGCCTATATTATGGTTGGATAATGCTGTACATTAATAATATGTCCATATATTTGCTTATAACTATATAATGTGTACATTTATTAAACCTCTTACTGCTTATACATGCTTAATAGTGGGAGTTAAAATGATTATATTCGGTCAGTTAGCTGTTTTTTTTTAAGTCTGTTATGTCCTCCTGACCCATGATGGATTTTCAGACTGATAAAGTTTAAAGAAGACTTCAGAGTACAGCCATGTTTACAGCTCTGTTAGTCTTGAGGGAAACAAGCACACACAATGCTAATGTGCTAATGTTTAGTTTAGCATTTCTGTTATTGTTTTCTACAGATTCAGATTATTAATACTTAAGCTAGTAAATAATAACAATAACATTAAAATGAAAAACACATTAATGCGTCAATAAGTGTAATCAAATTATATAATATATATTATTCTCAAATGGCCCATTCTGCAAAATTAGTACTTTAGTACTTTAAGTATATTTTGATGCAGATACTTTTGTACTTTTAATTAGCCTAAGTAACATTTAAGTAACAGAGTTACTGTCTGTCTATTAATTAATATTTAAATGATGGATTTGGCCATCATTGTGGATGTGATTATCATTTTAGTCACCTCAGTATAATTTATTTAACATAGCCTGTTTATTTATCAGTCAGACAGCTAATTTGTCTGTCTTTGAAAGATACTGTTTCCAAAGTCAAGAATGAGCTTCTGTTATTCATAAAGTCCATAAAGTGCTCATAAAACATTAAAAATCTCACATCTATTCATGACAACTAGGCAAAATCTGTCTGTTAATGAAGATTATGTGACATTATTGACAGCTCCAGAACAGCCACTAAATGAAACTTGTGGTGAGATGGTTTTCTCAATGCTATCACTTATCTTTTCATAATAAGCAGATGTCGAGTGCAAAGACTGACTAGTTGATTTATTTTCAACAGGGGCTGAAGAAGAGCCCCATTCATTCAGGCTACACAGCATGATGACATTTGCATCTCTTGAAACGCAAATGTCATCATCGAAATGCTGTAGCGGGACAATGAGCAGCATGAATAATGGCTGCTGGTAGCTGTGTGTCTGCGGTTTGTCCACTAGGGGTCAGTAGCATTCAGCACACCAGGTAGGCTTCAACTTTCACACCTGTTATATAGTTTAAATCAAATATTTCACCGGTCTTCAATCAGTCCAAATGTATTTATCTCTTTTATTTACGACCTTTTTGGACCAAACTGAGGTGGAGGGACCCTTAAAGTGTCTCAGCTGATGTATCTTCTGATCCACCAGTGTACATTTTTATTTAAATCATTTATTTTTTGAAACAGGATCTGGATGAAATGGACAAACCATGAATTATTAAAACACACAAGAGAAGAGAACTCTGAAAACAACTGGTAAACACAAATTAAATAAAATTGGTTTGATTTTAGACTGAATTAAAATCCTCCTCTTCTGGCTGATGTTTGAACAATGGGCAGCCAGTGAAAGAACAACTCCAGCACTCTCATTGTGTTTGGTTAAAACACTCAAAACGTAAAATGTGAGGAATGTCTGCCAGTTAATGAGTAAACCCTTTTTGGAGGTGAATATAGGTAAACAAATATGTTAGTCCCTGTTGAAATAATAGTGCTGGTTATGTGCTACCACTTCATAACCTCCAAGATCTCTCTCTTTGTCTATCTTTGTCATTTAAGGTGTTTTATTTAAAGACTAACAAAAACTTTGTAAAGATAACACATAGCTCAAGCACTACAAGGATCCTTGGTGGTTGTGTAAGTTGCATTGAAACATGGGGGGAAAAAATAATATAATTAAACAAAATGTTGTCAAGTAAATTAATGAAAGTTGTTGTTTTCAGATAATAAATTAAGCTTTTAGGAAGTTACCATTTATCTCCAGTGGCAGGGTTTGTGTCAAGTCCTCAGACCCCTAACAGAGCTGTTTTCCCCTCTCTTTCTCTCTCTTTTACACACACACACACACACACACACACACACACACACACACACACACACACACACACACACAGGTTTATGATAATGAGGAGCCTCAAGGCGCAGGGGGAGTCGGAGCCATTTTTACCATTCAATCGGAGTTGCGCGGACGGAGCGGAGCTGCTGCTGCTGCTGCTGTTGTTGCCGGTGTGTGTGTGTGTGTGTGAATGAGTGTGTGAGCCGCTCCGGCCAAGGTTACTGCGGGTTTACCTCATAAAATCAGCCGGAGTGACCGGAGAGAAGTGCGCCCGCTGAGAGCATGGCTCCTTTGCAACAAAGGGAAACTCACAGGCGGAAAGTTTAAAGGAATAAGGAGCTGCAGAAATTCCCACTCGGAGACCACAAACTGAGGAGCGATGCACTTCGTTAAATGGGATTTGTTGTTGATTTTCTGGTGCTGTAAACTGGTTTCGCTGGCGCATTGTTACACCGTTCACATCAGTGAGGATGCGGGGCCAAGGACGGTGGTGGCCGGCGTGGAGCGAGGCGCACGGTGCACTTTGGATCAGGTACTCGCTCCCAAATTCACGGAGCGGTTTCTGGAGACTGACGCGGCGGCGGGCATTGTGTTTGTTTCGGACTCTATAAAGTGCCCCTCGTTGCGCTCCAACCCCTTCACCGTGTACACTGTGGCCGACTGCTCGGACTCCGGCTACCGGCACCTCCTCACCGGCCAGTACGAGGTGCATGTTCACGGTAGGAACTGTTCAAACAAGCGTAAAAGAAAACCTCAGTGGGACATGGAGGTGCTCAGTTTGTTTAGCAGCCACCACCGCGGCTCAGAGTGCCACCAAGCGGGCTCTGCTTTATTTTCAGTGGGGGGTCTGCTGCCAGGAGACCTGATCCGCTGCAAAGTCACCAACAGCCGTGACTTTTACTTCTCTAAGGGGGACCTGTTTGTGTCTGAAACGCTGTGCTGGAGGCAGGATACGCTCCTGGAGCTAGACCTACTCTGTGATATGCTCACAGGAAATGGACTGAGTGCTAAAGTCAACCCCATCTCCATCCACTGGCGTGTGGGTCAGGGCCCCTTCAGGCAGGGCCACCTAGGGAAGCTATTAGAAAAGGCGGCTCAGTCTGATTCAGGGATTGTGAGCAGGAGGAGGAGAAGCATCAACAGCAGCCCCCAGTTTCAGCCTCCAATGTACCAAGTGTCTGTGGCAGAGAATAAGCCGGCTGGGACTCCCGTTGTTGTTTTGAAAGCAGTGGATGTGGATGAGGGGGAGGCAGGCAGGCTGGAGTATTTCATAGAGGCTCTCTTTGATAGCCGCTCCAACAATCTCTTTGCTGTGGACCCGGCCAACGGTGCTGTGTCCACAGTTGAGGTGCTGGACCGGGAGACAAAAGACACCCATGTGTTCCGTGTGACCGCAGTCGATCATGGCACGCCCCGCCGTACAGCCATGGCCACCCTCACTATCACTGTCAGGGACACTAATGATCATGACCCTGTGTTTGAGCAGCAGGATTATAAAGAAAGCATCCGGGAGAATCTAGAAATAGGCTATGAGGTGTTAACTGTGAGGGCCACAGACGGGGACGCACCTGTTAATGGTAACATCCTCTACCGTGTCTTAAACAGCAACGGGTCAAATGATGTGTTTGAGATTGATTCCAGGTCCGGTGTAATCCGCACCAAGGGTCTGGTAGACAGAGAGGAGGTAGAATCCTATATGCTGTTAGTTGAGGCAAATGACCAAGGTCGTGACCCCGGGCCCCGGAGCGCCACAGCTACAGTTTATATTGTGGTTGAGGATGACAACGATAATGCTCCCCAGTTCAGTGAGAAGCGCTATGTGGTCCAGGTCCCAGAGGACATGGCCCCAAACACAGAGATCCTGCAGGTGACGGCCACAGACCAGGACAGAGGGAGCAATGCTCTCGTTCACTTCAGCATCATGAGTGGAAACACCAGGGGACAGTTTTATATCGATGCTCAGACAGGTAAAATGGACCTAGTGAGTCACCTGGATTACGAGGCGAACAAAGAATACACTTTAAGAATCCGAGCTCAGGATGGAGGACGGCCTCCGCTATCCAACATCAGTGGCCTGGTTACTGTGCAGGTGCTGGATGTTAATGACAACGCCCCAATTTTTGTCAGCACCCCATTCCAGGCCACCGTGCTGGAGAATGTGCCGCTGGGCTACTCAATCATCCACATCCAAGCAGTGGATGCAGACTCTGGAGACAACTCCAGGCTAGAGTATTGCCTCACTGAAACCACGCCAAACTTCCCATTCAGCATCAACAACAGCACAGGGTGGATTGTAGTGGCAGCCGAGCTGGACAGGGAGAGTGTAGATTTTTACAACTTTGGAGTGGAGGCCCGTGATCATGGCTACCCTGTCATGTCCTCCTCAGCCAGCATCAGCATGACTATTCTAGACGTCAACGACAACAACCCAGAGTTCACTCAGAGGGCGTATTACATGAGACTGAATGAGGACGCATCCGTGGGGACCAGCGTGGTGACAGTCTCGGCTGTGGACCAGGACATCAACAGTGTGGTGACCTATCAGATATCCAGTGGAAACACACGGAACAGATTCTCCATCACGAGTCAGAGTGGAGGGGGGCTCATTACACTGGCGCTGCCTTTAGACTACAAACTAGAACGCCAATATGCCCTCACTGTCACTGCAAGTGATGGCACACGCTTTGACACCGCTAAGGTGTTTGTTAACGTCACAGATGCCAACACACACCGGCCCGTGTTCCAGAGCTCGCATTACACCGTCAACATCAATGAGGACAAGCCTGTGGG